CAGAAGTTTTCAGACTTTCCTAAGAATGCTTTTGGCCTCAGGAACTTGGGGGTTGGACTGACCTGAGACCCTAACTGTGGCTGGCTGTACCAGGCAGGGATGCAAAGGCTGATGGGGTGGGAATAAGCCCCAAGATTTCCCAGGGAGTGGATTGAGTAGTTGGGTTGTACTGGATGCAAAGGATCAGGGAGAGGCAAGGTAAGCCTCGGAGCCCCAGAAAGAGGCTGTCAGCCCCAACAAGAGGCTGGTGGGTGTTGCAGGATCAGGAAGCAGAGAGAGGTGGGGGCGGGGCCGGGTCTAGAGGCAGTGCTCCTGGGGCCCAAGGAAGGCACCAAGCCAGTTGGGGGTGAACAGGGTCAGGAATCAGCAGTGGCTTCCCAGGTGTCTGGGGCCCCAAGATTAGGAATGGCACAGGGCCCAAGCTTGGAGTAGAGAACAGCGGGGGAGGTGGAAGGGTGAGCGCGGCTGGCGGCTGGCGGAGTCAAGGCGAGGAGGGCTCCACGGTAGACTTACCCTCAGAGAGGCCTGAGGGCAGGAGAGCGGGCCAGGAGAGTTAGCCAGTGGTGCAGGTCGGGTAGTAGGGAGAGGTGAGGGCGGGGCCAGGTCCCGTGGAAGCTGTGCTCCTGGGGCCAAGGAAGGCACCAAGCTGGCCTGGTCGAAAACGATCAGGAAGCAGCACCAGTTCCCCAGGTGTCTGGGGACCCAAGACCAGGAATGGCCCAGGGCCCAAACCAGGAGCAGAGAACAGTGGTGGAGATGGAAGGGCGAATGAGGCCAGGGGAGTCAATGCACGCAAGGCTCCGAGATGGACCCACCCGAGAGGCCTGAGGGTAGGGTAGAAGGCCAGGAGAGTTCTCTCTAGTGTTTTTAAAGTTGGAAATAAATTATGTAGTGTTGGGACTAACTGTTCTTTGAAGGCCGATAGATTTCTCCTTTGAAGCTGTTTGTGGGTAGAGCTTTTTTGGTGAAGAACCAAAGAATCGATTAAATGCTTTGTTTCTACTATAGCCAATTTTTGTAATTTATATTTTCTTAGGAAACTGTTTTATGTAGGTTAGTCAATATATTTTCACTAAAAATTACTAGTATGTCTATCCTTCTAGAAGTTATGTTCCAGTGCTCATCTACTGGATTTATGAACGGTTGTTAGCTGCCATGTGGGTGCTGGGAATCAAACCTGGGTCCTCTGCAAGAGCAGCCAGTGCTCTTAACCACTGAGCCGTCTTTCCAGTCCTTATTTTCATTCTTCTAATTGACAAGAATAAATGAATTTTGCTCTAATCACTACTTTAAATGTGTATGTACCATGCAGTCTGATAGTGGTTTTTGATTTTAGAAATGAGATTTCAGTTCGCATTTCCCTTTTTACTTGAATAACCTCATAGACAATTAAAACAAAACAACTCCAGACCTCTCTATTATTTCTACTTTAATTGCACATCATTCAGATTATGGATTGTAATATTTCTCCTTGTGGAATGTAATGATGTTTTCTTTATGACCTAGTCTGTGATCACATTTTTTGTGAATGTTCCATGTGCATGATTGAAAAGAGGATATAATTCTATTAGCAAGGTATAAAGTTCTGTGTATATCATAATACTTACCTTTTTGTGTGTCTATTTCTTCTGTCTCATTACTTATTTCTATCACTATTTTATGCTGAGAGTTGTGTGGTAGAGTTTCCTAGGATTAGTGCCGTACTGGTTTTCTTCACTTCTGGTTTAAGCATACTTAATTGAAGTTCAGTACTTTCCTATAAAGATGATTGCTGTGTTTTTTTAGTACATGAATGTTCGTAAATGTTATGTCTTCATTTTGATTAACTTCATTTGATGGCTGTATCATACAGTCTCCTTTGTCATACTGAATGCTTTTTGGCTTCAGTCTGTTTTGTTTGATACTGGAAATGAAATCTCTACTTATTTCCCATTGTCTGTGCTATCTTTGCTTTATTTATTTTTATTTTTATTTTTTGATAGGGTCTTCCTGGTCCCAGCCCACCTGGAACTCACTAGGTAGACCAGGCTGGCTTCGGTCTCACAGAGATCGCCTGCTTCTGCCTTCTGAGGTCTGGGATTAAAGGCATGCACCACCATTTATATTTAATCTTTCTTAGTCTTTTGTATTTCTTAGCCTTTGAGAATTATGTTATGTGTGCCTCTTGTATTCAGTGGAGAGTAGGATATGGCCTTGCTAGTCAGTTTGAAATAATTATTCTTTTAATTGGTAAAGTAAGCTTATAACACGGGTTGATATGAGTGATGTGTCAACTTTGCCTTATTATTTCAAAATCCTGTACATTTTACTATAGTTACTGTTTTTATCCCCTTTCCCCCTTTTTTCTGTTGTTGAAATATGATCTCATTTGACTTGGTGTCGCTGATGCCTTTAGTCTCAGCACTTGGGAGGTGGAGGCCTCTAGAGGCACCTGGATTTCTGTGAGATCAAGGCCAGCCTGATTTATATATTGAGTTCCAGGCCAGCTAAGGCCACAGGAAGACCCTGTCTCAAAAACAGACAAGCAAAAAGACCTCAAACAAAGACAAAAATAAAGTCTGATCTCACGTCATAGCCCAGGCTGATCTGGAGCAGTCTGTCCTCCTGCCTTAGCTTCCTGTGTGTTGGGATTACATGCTTATACTGTGACCAGCACTGTTTCCTTTTCTTTATGGTTTTTTCTGTTCTTTAAAAAAAGTACTTGATATTTAGGAAGTTTGTGGTTTGATTTTGGTAATTACCTTTGTATATGTACCTTGTCAGTCCAATGTTCTTCTATAGCCTTCTGCTGTCAGGTACATGTTTTTTGTTTGTTTTTCCTTCTTCGTATTATATATTCAAGCAAGTTGTTCTGTGTTCCTGTTCTTTTCACCCTTCTCCCCATCTTGTAGGTGCATTTCTATTTGTGATTTGATAGAAAATTGCATACTACTGCCAGGTGTGGTGGCACACGCCTTTAATCCCAGCACTTCAGAGGCAGAAGCAGAGGCCAGCTTGGTCTACATAGTGAGTTCCGGGCCAGCTGGGGAGACCCTGTCTCAAAAAGACCAAAAAAAAAACCCAAAAAACATTGCATGCTGTGCTTCTACCTGTGTCATGATTTTGGTGTTTGGTTTTTATCCTACAGTTCTGATTGAATGCAGTGAATACTCACCCAGTCCTTCATGGTGTTTCCCTGGTTAAACTGTAGTTAGATCTCTTGGTTAATGAAGCTCATGCTGCTGGGTTTGTGAATAGAGTATTCCGAGTTCTTCAGCAGCTTTCTATAGCTTCTGTACTTCAAGGACAGCTTGACTAGATTTCAAATCTTGGTTCATACTCTGTTGGCTTTGCGTCTCTTGTTCCACTCCTGGTTTCCCTTGTGTGTCCCCCCTGAGAAACCTGATGCTAGAATAATTGTCTTGCCTTTATAGGTAGTTTGGTGGTTTTGTCTAGTGACCTGACAACCTTCATCTTTAAAATTTATGTCTTCTCCCTTTGAGTATTGATAAGTCCTGTAATTTACCTGTCCAGGTCAGTTTGTCGTGTTCCAACAGTTGGTTCTTTTAAGTTAGAGCTTCGGTCACCCCCGCCTCGACTCCCCATGCTAGAATGTTGTCTTAGGTTACAGTGGTAGTTCTCTGTTGATGCCTTCTTTCTTTTTTCAATGGCTCTATTTATAGATGAAAAAAAAAAAAAAACAAACAACTTCCTGCCATTCATTTCATGTGTGCTTTCTCTAGCCCTTTGTGTTCTGCCTGATCTTATTAACTATTCTCTTTGTTGTTTGCCTGAAATTCTTCAGTGGTCCTTTGAAATTAATTGTTTATTAGATAGTTCTCTGTTGGACGCTTAGAATTAATCTTTATTTCTGAGTAACTTTTTCTTTAAAAAAATTTTTCCTGTGTTCATAAATTCTTTTTTCTTCATGATGTTTCTATTTTAATTTTAGTCTTTAGAGTTTCTGATTCAAGGAATATGTGTGTGCACACATTCCCATAATCTTTTGCTCTCCCTCCAATTTTCCCTTTGCCCTTGTCTTAGGAAGATGTTGATAGATAAGGCTTAAGTCTGTAATGAAAGGGTAGATTGTCTAATGTGTAGACAGGCTCTTTTGAAGAAGAGAGAAACCCAAAGGGGTACAATCATATATTCATAATTATTTTAGAGAAAGAGAAGGAAAGGTGGGACCATAACACACAACCATAAAAAGGCAACTCCTGTGTAAGGAACCATGGTATATTGAAACAGGAAGGCAGATGAATATTTCTAACTCAAGATGATTGGCCTTTTGGCTACTTACCCATTAGTATTAGTTTTGTTTCTGTTGCTGTGATAAAACATCTGGACAAAAGCAGCTTTGGGCGGAAGGGCCTATTTTGGTTCCGTTCCACAGAAGATGCCATCTGTTAGGACAGGGAAGGCATGACAGCAGGAGTATGAGGCCAGCTCGTCACATGGCATTGGCAGTACAGAATCAGAGAGTGAAGAAGAGGTGGGGCCAGGCTGTAAGATCTTTTTTTTTTTTTAACTTCAAAAAAAATTTTATTTATTTCTTTTTATTTTATGTGTATGCATGTATTGCCTGCATGTAGGTAAGTGCACCCACATCATGCAATGCCCACAGAGGTCAGAAGAGGCTGTCAGATCCCCTGGGACTGGAGTTATGAACAGTTGTTAGCTGCCATGTGGGTGCTGGGATTTGAACCTGGGTCTTCTACAAGAACAACCAGTGTTCTTAACCACTGAGCCATCTCTCCAGCCCCTAGGCTGTAAGATCTTAAGCCCCACCTCTGTGATGTACTTCTAGCAAGCATCTATTTCCAAGTAGTGCCACCAGTTAAGTGTTCAAACATAGGAGCCCATGGGGGCATCTCACATTCAAACCACAACACTTTCAGTTTAAGTCAGAAGTATTGTTACTTTAATTGTGAATCGCTAAAAACTCTTTCAAATCAAATATGTAAACAATTGGATAATTTAAGTGATAGCACCTATTAATTCTGTCTCATAATTTATAGATTTCTTCACCAACTAAAGGAAGAGAATTCTGAGTTGATTAATCAATTGTGGACTAATATTCAGCAGAAAATAGCCACCCAGTCACAAGTAACTCCCCCAGGAACTCCATCTTTGACTCCTTCATCAGAGGAACAAAAAGGTTACTCTTTTGCATTAGTTTCTAGTAGTTGTTTTGTTTTTTTTCCTGGAGCACAGTAATTTTAAAATGCTAAATAACTTGACTTCTTTATGCATTCTAATTGACTAAAATACCGATGAATCTATGAGTTGAAATATTTATTTATTTATTTTGTTTGTGTTTTGAGACAGAGTTTTTCAGTAGCCCCAGCTAGTGTGAAACTTGCTCCAGGCTGGCCTTGATCTCACAGAGATCCACCTGCCTCCAGAGTTCTGGAATTAAAGGTGTGTGCCACCATGTCCAGCCAGTTGAAATACTTTTTAAAAAGTACATTTTACTTATTATTTGTATTTTTTTTTAATGTGTATGAGTGTATTGCCTGCATGTATATAAGTGCACCCATGTCATGCAATGCCTGCAGAGGTCAGAAGAAGGCGCTGAATTCCCCTGGAACTGGAGTGAGTTACAGTTGTTAACTGCCATGTGGGTGCTGAGAATTGAACCTGAGTCCTCTGCAAGGGCAGCCAGTGCTCTTAACCACTGAGCCACCTCTCTAGTCCCCAGTTGAAATACTTTTAAAGGAAATTTATTCACTTGAAATCTTGTTGCTGTCCTCTTCCCTTCAGTTGCTTTGAATGCTACTGATGCTGTCAAGAGAATCCAGACCAAGCTTCAGCCTGAAGACTCCACAGAGACTGTAGACTCAAGTTATATCGTGGGGCAAGTGCTGAACTCAAGGAAGCAAAAACAGCTATTGAATAAAGGTTCAGTTCTTCGTAGTTTACAAAGATGAATTATTATTAAGCATGCATCTTGTTACAGCTTTATTATTTTTAAAAAATATTTATTATTTTTATTGTACGTGTATACGTGTATTGCCTGTGTGTAGGTAAGAGCACCCGTGTTGTGCAATGCCGGCAGAGGACAGAAGAGGCTGTCAGATCGCCTGGAACTGGAGTTACAGACCGTTGTTAGCTGCCATGTGGGTGCTGGGATTTGAACCCGGGTCTTTTGCAAGAACAACCAGTTTTCTTAACTGCTGAGCCATCTCTCTAGCCCTGTTGTAGCTTTATTAATTACTTTTTAATTACTATATTAATTAATACTTTTTCCCCTCAGGCTAATCCAGTTGTAATAGTTAAGTATAAGTTTGTTGAGGGAAAGCTAAGAAACCCTTCCTGACCCATACAATGTGGGAAAGATTATCCTAATATATTCATTGTAGATAATGTAAACTTTGTTTAAACTTTGTAGAATTTTTATTATAAAATTGTGGTAACTTCTTTAATATCTTTTTTTTAAATGGAAAACAACAAAATAGTAATGTTGTAGTTGCAATTTTTCCTGGTCTTGAAACAGAATGACTTCTGTCCTTCTCAGTGAAAAGAAAACCAGATTTGTGTGCTCCTTCCAAGCAGAAGAAAAATATGCTGTCAGCTAGCACAGCGTCCACAGACTTACCAAGTAGCAATAATTCCAGCCTGGATGTCCTCAAGCACATGATAAATGAAGTGGAGTGTGAGATGGAGGAATATGAACGGTGGACAGGACGCGAGGTCAAGGGACTGCAGGGCGGTCAGGGGCTCACAGGCTTCACCTTGTCACTGGTGAGCTCTCTCTGCCGCCTGGTTCGGTACCTTAAAGAGGTAAGAGCATGAGGCTATGTGAGTCTTCTCTTCAGGAAGAAATATAGATTGATTTTTTTTTTCCCCCTCCTTCCTTAAGTTATTGCAATCTCCAAATAAAGAACAGTTAAATTTGAATAGTTCTATTTAAAATACTCCATTTTAATTTTAGTTTATCTGCATCAGAATATGTTTTAAGTCTCCCTCTACCATGCTTGGGTAAATGGTTTTGATGTTGCTGTAAGCTTTAGCAAATTACAGTTAGTACGGTAAATCTTCTATGAATAAAATAGTGTGTGCTAATTGTAAGTATGACTCTTTGAGACCATTATGTGTCAAATAGCACTGTTAACTGTGTTTTTATGATGTGCTTTCCTCTGCTTGCTGCTCACATATTAGCCCAGTTTGGAGAGTTGCATTACCTGTAATATGTGGACTCACAGGTGGGAAAAATCCTCATGGTGTCTGTACGACTGGTAATCCAGCTTCATTGTTTAAGTGGGAAGTGTCTTGTTGTGAAAATAATTTACAGAACAAACAAGAATTATTTGTTTATAAATAATAATTGGCATCAGATGCTGTAGAATTAGCTGGGCATTTCATCTTTTATAAACTCTAATTAAGGAGCAGGGATAATAGCTCAGCTGGTAATGTGCTTGCCATGAAAGCATGAGAACCTCAGTGTAAGCCCCTGAGCCCTGTGAAAATGCCAAGTGTAGTGGCTTTCTCTTGTCCCAGTGCTGGGAAAGTGGAAAGTGGAGACAGGATCCTTGGGGTTCCCTGCTCAGCCAGTCTAGCTTAATTGGTGAGCTCCGGTCAGTGAGTGACCCTGTCTCAAAGGGGGTGTACTGCACTTCTGAAGATGACACTTAAGGTGGTCCTCTGATCTCCACATTCACACAGTTACACACGTGTACACACACATAAAACAAAATCAGCTTAAGTTTACTTATACTTAAATCTGTTGAACAAATAGGACAAAAATGTTTAAGAAAATTTTACTTTAAATAGTAGATGTATCTCTCTGGTTTAGGTGTAATTTGCTCTGAAGGTGTTTTCCTAATACTGCCTTTTAATACAGGATTTGTGGTACCGTCAGACATGTGAAATTTTTTCCAGTTTAGTTATTTTATTTAATGTATATGAATGTTTTGCCTGCATGGGTTTAAGTGTACTATGGGCCAGGAGAACTGGAGTTACAGATGGTTGTTAACCAACATGTGGGTGCTGGGAACTGAACCTGGGTCCTCTGTAAGAGCAGCCAGTGCTCTTAACCACTGAGCCATCTCTCCAGCCCTGGATTGTTGTTGTGGTGATTGTTGTTTTAAGTGAGACTTTTATTCTGTTATTATTTTGTTCTTCCTTTTGGAGTGCTAGTGTGCTTTTTATGAGGGTTATTATTGTTAGTGGTGTTTCTCCCCCTCCCTTTTTTATCTTTTTTTAACTTTGTTCCTTGACAGTTCCTTGTATCTGTATGTTGTGTTCTGATTGCTGTGTCCCCCATCCTCTTACCTTCCTCCCCTCTTACTATCCCCTTCCTCCTTCCTCCCGACAGTGTTCTTTTCCCCTTAAGTCAGGGGTCTTTATATGGAGACTCGTTCCTCAGAAAGTATTACAGACTTAGCAACATGTACTTTTTAACTACCACTTAGTTGACCAAGCTAAACAACTTACTAGAAATAGTCAATATAGTTTAATGTAGTTGTTTTAAATTCTATTTTAACCAACAGTTTTTGAATTAGTGATACATTCCACAGCATGTAATGCAAAGATAGAGAACAATGTAGAATGAAAAACCTAATTCTCATTCCTAACTTGTAGCTAATCTGTTTGTTTCCTTATCTACTGTCATGACCAGATACCAAAGTGCCTTTCTAGAGATGATCTCTATAATCAAACAATATTTGTATATATCCCTCCACTTTTTTAAGAAAAGGTGTAGTTATTTAATTCTACATACATTTAAAGTGTTGTTTCTATTTAAAAGGGGAACGAGGACAAAAAGACATTTTGTTGAACTAAATGTAAGCCCTGACAAAAGCTTTGAAGCATCACTGCCATCATAGCCTCCGCTTCTTTGTAGTTATCTTCTTTGCTGGCTTGACTAGAAACTTTTAGCTTTCAGCATATGATCTTATTTGTGGAGTTGATTTATTTTTATTTTATTTTTTTAGAGTGAGATCCAGCTACGTAAAGAAGTAGAGACAAGGCAGCAACTGGAACAGATGTTAGGTGATCATCGAGAGCTCATTGATGCTCTGACAGCTGAAATTCTCCTTCTCAGAGAAGAAAACCATACCACACAGGTAATCAAATGCTTTCCCCAAATTTTCTATGTTTAATAGTAAAATATATATTAATAAACATATAGGGTGGCTGGAGAGATGGCTCAGCGGTTAAGAGCACTGACTGCTCTTGTAGAGGACCCAGGTTCGATTCCCAGCATCCACATGGCATCTTCGAACCGTCCTTAACTACAGTTCCAGGGGAATCCAAAGCCCTCTTCTGA